ACTGCCAACAGGAACTAACAGATTGTGTGGTTGGGGTGCCTGGAGTAACTGTGGAAAGGTTGGACTGGGCAGAGTAACTGTGTGGAGTGTTTGGAGTGAGTAAAGATAGTAAACATTACATTGGAGTGAGTAAAGATAGTAAACATTACACTAACCAATTGATTGATCAAATGTAAAATGTGCACATGGCAAGCTTGATAGAGTGAGAAATGCATTTCAACCAGGCTCCTCACTAGGCATCATCAGTGAGGTATAGCCAATATCCCTCTAGGCACAGTGAGCAAGGAATCCATGTCTGGATTACCCTTTAAACTTAAAGAGAGCAAAAAAACTGCAGAAATAAATAATGGAGGACAGCATCCAGATAACGAGCAGCTAAACAGACCTAGCAGATGGAACTCCAGCACCCTCACACCATTGTCGGGATCTTTAAAAAAAGACAGCGGTGGAGATGAAATAATAAACAAAGAATGGGTGCAAAGAGATGAGGATGGCTCAAAGGCTGCCCAGATAGCAAGTGCTCGTGTAGATATACCGCGGCCGGAATTTTCATAAAAGACCGCGGTAATCAGCCAGATGAAGATGTCAGTCGCTGGAGTCACTGGTGCCATGCGGCCTGTCCGGTGCCATCTTGTTGCGAGCCTGTGGCCGGTCAAACGAAAGTCTAATTTCTGAGTGAGTTACACTCTCCGGGCGGGCAGTTTACTTGTGTTTGCGCCCCATGGTACTCTGTGGGGCAGTAGGCGCTTTTGGGTCATTTTCTAGGGTTTGAATTCCGGTGATAAGGTCTTTTTTCAGTGAGCGCGAGATTAAGGCCTGGGAGATGTTCTGAGAGAGGGCAGAGGACATAGAGCCCATAGCTGCCATAATGGCGTCAGTGACTGACTGTTGCAGCGCCAGGGACTGAGCCTCATCAGGGTGAAACATAGGGCCAACTACTGATGGAGAGGAGCTAGAAACTGAAGAGGGGTTCCCCAGGCCTTGAGGCATATCAATCTCACCAGGAGAAGGGGGCAGGCTTGGGCATATTGCATATTGCAATGTGAGACCCACAGAATGCAAATACTAGTAATCTATACCGAACCTTTGGATGGCCAGATTAACGCTACACAAACAAAGAATAGTCAAATAGCGAGCCAAGGTCAGGGGTACAAGAAATCAGGATCAATGGTAATGCAATATCCGAGGTCAAAGGAACACAGAAAGAGGAATAGTCAAACAAAGCCAAAGTCAGAATACAAGAATACCAACACAGAATACGCGCTCGTGGGTCAAACAAGAACCACAACAGGACAATGAGTCTCTCCCTGGTTTCTCTTTAAATACCGTGTTCAATTAGGTAGGTAACCACGCCCCCAAAATGTTCTCGTTCAAACACCTTGGCGTTCTTAGAGTCATGATGTCAGCGCTCATTAGCCACTTTATAAAAGGAGGCAGGATTATCGTGGCTGACGTAAGAATAGCTGTGGACAAGCTGAGAGTTGGTAGGAGTGTCCCTAATTCCCTGCAATGTGATGCCAGCCTGTGACATCCCCCTGACTGGTACACAAGGTAACCTGGCAATATGTTCTATTTTTTCTATTTGTGTTCTTTGCTGCTATTGGTGGACAGTAAAGAAAGGGTTAAGCAATATGAGCCTCTGTGTCTTGACATAAAATCACAGCCATTCTCTAAACGTTAGTTTCTACCAATGAGCCACTAGCAATATTGAGGTTGTCACAATTCTACTTTTTAGATCATTTTCAACACTACTTTTACTATTATCAGAGTGATGAAAAAGGGTTTATGTCAAGTACTAAGATTTTTTTAGTAAAATCTTACTGGAGAGGAGTTATCTTTAATTTAATAAGATCATCAGAAACGTGAAACAGCTACAAATACTTAGTAATGTGAACTAACAATTCCCTGTTAATCAGTTAGACAAATTAAAGGGTATGTAACCACTGTAACTGCAACTATGGAAATGTGCAACAGTGACTGAAAAAAATAAAAAAGCTGTTGATTGGAAAATGAAACGGTATGTTAATTTACCTAGTTTCCGTGGGGCGGAGCTTGACCGCCATATCGAGCAGTCACCTCAACCCGGAGCTCCGGTCCAAACGCAGACTTTAAGACCTTTATCTTGTTAACTTGCTGGCTCACTAATCACTGCATTCCCTGGCTACATCCAAGGAGGAGAATCTGCGAGCTGTGGACTGTCTTAGTGCAGCTGTGGCAGCTGACTCGTTTTTGCGGCCAAAGTGGTGGCATGGGAGAGGCGATCGATCTCTCCGTTCACTGTCCCCTTGAACCAGAGCCACAGATAATCTTTTATCCTCCCCCGCCCCCACGCCCCCACGCCAGTGAGGGAAATCCCGGCACACTCAACATAGATATACTGACCTGCAAAACTTCTCAGGGAGCAATCACTTAGACTCCGTCCTGTCCAAGATGGCAGACACTGTGCTTTGCTCGGGAGGCCCTCAACCTCATGTGGTCTAGCTACTCTGACCAACTTAGACAAGATATTTGTAGCCTTTTTGGCCAAGTTCTACGTCAGACTGCCTCTGCATCAACGGAGCAGACAGAAGCTGAGCTACCACCTGTGGGAGTGGGGGGTTTCGCAAATGAGAGTGGCCGCAAGATGGAGGTCACCGACGGTCCTCCATGGGGTGGGCGAAGTCGAGGCAGGATTTGCAAACAGACACAGAGAGCATGTCTGCCATACTGTAGGTGGAAGTCAAGACGTCGGACTACTACGCCAGCAGCTAACCATTATTATGAGAAGAAGCGCCGAACTCTACTGACGTCCACCGGCTGCATGGCACCTGTCACCCACTAGGCCTCAAGCACCCCATGCTGCCTATTACTCTAAGGGACTGTGTTTGGTGTTCGAAAGGGATAGGCTGATCCCTATCGTGCTCCAAATGAGTTGACCATGTTGTCCTGGGAAGTTGTGCTTATGAATAGTAAGGGTCAATGCATAGATCTGCAGTAATTAATCCTACTGCTATGTTTTTGCTTCTGTTTAATAATATGTGTTTTCTTATTTACCTAACAAAAAAGTGCAGTATTGTAGACATGACCTGATACTCTTAATGTCTATGTAAAACCCTTGTTTTCATGTCTTGCTCAACGTGTACCCATAACACTGCACTGCAAAAATAATTATATATAAAAACATTTTTTACCTCATTTCCATTATATTTATTGCCCTGTGTCCTGGTCTGCACACGGTTATTTTTTTCTCAAACCTATTGTTGTTTTTCCTATATTCTACTTACAAACCCCATTATTAATTTATCTTATATATGTGTTAATCATACCAATACAATTAGTGCACATATGAGAGCTTATTTTAAATATAACTAATAAACATATTTAAAATGTGCACCTTGATTTAAAGATGTTTCATGTTGTTATTAACTTTAAAAAAACAAGTTTTATTCCTGTTGTGTGTTTGATTATATTTTTATTTAGGTTTTACAGGGATCCCGAGAGTTTATTGAGTTTTTCACTGCCGACATCCATGGATTGCTTCAGTCCTTGGGTGGGACATCTTCAATGAGTGATGACAGGACAGGTGTGTAATATTAAAAAGAAGCGCAAACAAAAAATTCCTTAACAAAACAACATGACTCTGCTTTCTTGCAACGCATTCAACAGAAATTGAATGGCTGAGATTAACCAAAGTCACACATTTTCTGAAAATATAGATTTTTAAATGTGTCATGTTTGAATGTAAGCATGTTTTTGTATGGAGAATGTTTGTGTAAATGTAGGGGTGTGTTTGTATGTGGTGTTGGCGTTTGAAAGTAAGCATGCATTTATGTGTAGTGTTGGTTTTCAAATGAAGAGGTGTATTTATATTTAATTTTGGTGTAAAACACAGAAGTGTGTTTAATGTAGTGTTGACGTTTCAATGCAGGAGTGTGTTTATATATAATGTTGAAGTTTGAATGCAGTATTTTGTGTGTAGTGTTGGCGTTTGAATGTTGAAATGTATACACATCAACGCCACACGCCACAGAGAAACTGCAATGTTTACATTGCATCACTAAGTTATCCTCGATTGGCTATCTGCCACCGGACTTCCTGGTTTGAAATGGACTGACACTGGACATCCTCACACTCTGCATGAGGACCTCCAACAGCAGATTTATTTCCCCATAGGAAAGCAATAATGCAATGCCACGCATGCGCATTTGAGCCTGCAGGGTTAAGGAGGAGGTAAGTAAATAAAGTGTTAGGAACAGGTAAGTAAATAAAGGAATACAGCATTGTATTCCTGGCACTATAGAATCCCTTTAATATTAGTTGTCAATGATGACAACTAATATTAAAGGGACAACTAATATTAAAGGGATTCTATAGCATTAGATGCTTCTTGTTAGACAATGTGTGATAGAAATCTGAGTTATGCATATACTCATGAGGATGTGAAGAACATTTCATCAGTTATCTTGTGGCCTGTTCCTCAGAAATAGAAGCCTTACTGGGAGTTGGGGGAGAGCACTGTAGTGGTAAAATGTATTTGCCATTGTATGTCTAATCTGCTTTAAATAAAACATTATTTCATTTTTTATTTATTTTAAACATCTTATATTTATGTTTATTCCTACTCATATTATAGCGTCCTAACGAACTAAATGTATTTGTAGAAATGGTAAGCTACTCTTGATCTGCTTTGTCCATAGACCAAGATCAGTATTGCTCAAATAATGCCTTTTTTTTAAGTGATTTTTCATAACAGAAATAATCAAAGCAGACTGTAGATCAAAGCAAAGTTATATTAGAACTACATAATGAAAAATGAAAGTATGAATGAGAGCATACATCTCAGTTTTTCAGAGAATAAAAAAAAAGCGCTTCTATGCAGCAACATGGTTGTTTATAAATGCGAACTAACACTTTGATCATTGCAAGGCCAGATAACATGACCAAGTGCATCATTTATTAGCTGTTCCTACATTTTTCTTGTTGCTTTGGTTAGAACATATTCATATTTTTTTTGTTCATTTGCAGTGAAGCTGTTTTAGATTTGCTCTTATTTTCAAAGCTTCTTTCAGTCACTGCATATCATCCTGATTTTGTCTCATAAATTTTTATCATTTCTGATTTAAGCTAATTAAATCAAGGCCGTAATTCCCTTTTATAGATGTTATTTTTGTTTTTGAAGTTTTGTGCTTCTGTTCTCTGTCCTTTTGTTTGTAGTGTGCCTTAAGATAATTAGAGAGTGTGGGTACAATGAATCGTTAAGTAAAACGTACTGGTATAGTCAGCTTTTCTCTATTAGCAAGCTACATATTCTAGCATCCCTTAAAGGAACACTATAAAGTTAGTATTACAAATCTGTATTCCTACCGCTATAGTGCCCGTGCCCTACTCATTTCCAGCCTAGTGTAACACAAATTTAATAAATACATTTTTCCAGCACTGAGCTCCCTTGGTTCTGTTCATCTCTCCGCCTCCAGCGACATCACAGAGGCACTTCCTCCTCAGCCGATGTCCAATTCAGTGCTTCTCATAGAAGAGACCATGAGCAATTGGTTCCATTTATTTACATTACTTCAAGACACCTCACACATACACAAACCATTCCCCAGAGTAGAGCACTTAATCAGTGCTTTCCTATGGAGCGTCTGCATCATCAGAGGATTTTTTTTCCACTTGGCATCTGATTTAAATTCTCGGATCTCATTAACTGTGGAGAATTTACACGGCTGTTTACATAAAGTAACTTGTAAATTATTGTGTTTTTTTGTTGTTGTATGTTTTCAGTAAATGCCAATACATTTTCTACAATACATTCTGCTTGTGTGGTTTATGAGGAATTTACATGATATATAGACCGTTGTATTTTTAATCTAACAGGCAATTCTAATGGCTCTGAATATGATGAAGGAATAACATATGAACAATTACAGGTAAGATGGAAAAATCTATGCATTTTGAAATAGTTACATTACCAACACTCGAGAGCTTTTCCCTGTCCCTTGAGTAATTAGTACAGTGTCAAAGGATCTCAGAGTCTTACTAAGTTTGTTTAAGTCCACGAAACAGTAACTTGCCTAGTTACGGTGGGAATTGATTATGATGTCATAATGCATATAGTAGAATTCCATAAGACACTTTAAGTTATTATTGTGCTCATAGCATCTACTAGCAATTGCAAATTCATATGCAAAGGGAAAAAAGTAAGAACTTGACGACATGAAACATTGGCACAATCTCCCCTTTTAAAAAATAATAATAATAACGAAATAAGTATAATCGTACCTGTTCACCACAAGGCCAGGTTCTCCCTGCAGTCCATTCCTTTGGTGATGTCATTCTCCCTCACTGGAGGGGGCGGGATGTCCTAGAGGGTAGCCTGAGTGGAAGACTTGGGCAGCATGTAGGGAGTTGTGTCTCCATTGATCGTCAGCCTACTATGCATGCTCATGATAGATGCCCACTATGTACAGATTGTCAAAATGTACAGACTTTCATCTGTTTGCAATGAAAAAAAAAAAATAAACAAAAGAAATTGACATAGCTCAGCACAGCAAATGCTTCAAGTGGTTTCCCCAAATTCAACTGAAAATGCAACTTATAATGACTTCTCCAGTCTCAAAATTATTCGACCCCTTAATGGCAAGCATCTTTAGTTCTTAGTAGTGCTCCCTTTTGCTGTTATGGCCTGCTGCAAATGAGATACATAGACAGACATGAGCTTCTATCAACATTTCTGAAAAATCTTAGCCTATTGCTCATAAGCAAAGGCCTCCAGTTCAGTAATATTCTTGGGTTTGTGTGCCCAGTCAGGTAACTGATGTCCACTGTAGAATTTTCCAAGACTTTCCCTGCAACCAATTTGAGGTATACTTGGGGTCCTATGATCAATGAGCTCAGCTTCCTCACAGACGGCATGATGTTTTCTTCTAGAATTCCTGATACCTTAATGAATCCATCTTGCTTTCCACACACTGCAGGTTTCCAGTGTCAAATTATGCAAAGCTGCCCAGGCATACTTAGCTATAGTCAAAATGTTCTTTTCAGCATATGCTTCATTCTTCTTCCTCTAGTTATACAGCTGATCCATTGGGCCAAAAAGTTCCAGTTTTATTTCATCGCTCCACAGAACAGAATCCCAAAATTTCTGTGGCTAATGTATAAGATTTTAAGATTATTACAGACTACTTTTCTTGTGTTTTGGGGTTAGTAATGGTGTACATCTTGGAGATCTTACATGGAAACCTTCTGCATGTAGTACGCGCCTTACTGTGCTCACTGAAATCTCAGTGCCTCTTGCCACCAAGTCTTGCTGCAGGTCTTTTGCAGTCACTCAAGAATTTTTCACAACCTGTCTTCTCAAAAATATGGTTGCAACCAGTCATAGCTTCCTTTTTCTGCCCCATCCAGGTAGTGGAACTACTGTTCCTTTAACTTTGAACTTGTGAGCTATGCTTCCAACAGTGTCTCTCAGAGCAATCCTTCGCTATCTTTTTGTATCCTGTTATTTGTTTGTGAAAGGCAATGATCTCTTCGCTTAATTTTATGGACTATTCTTTTGACATATTTTCTCATGCAGTTAAAAGGTGACACTCAACAAATACCTAGCCAATTCAAGTATCTCAAGTGTTCCAGCTCAAGCACACCTGGTGCAACTAATGAAGCCCTTGATGATGTGCGTGAGACAATGCCTTTTTTGCATATTTGTGCTGTTGTGAAGGATTCTGTTAAATAATTTTGAGATGGAAGAAGTCATTATAAGCTGCATTTTCAGTTGAAGCATTCATTGTGTTGAGCTATTTCAATTGCTTTTGTTTGGTTTTGTTTATTGCAATCAGCTGAAGGTCTGTACATTGTAAAAATAAACCTGATTTTAAATGGGGGCTGAATAATTTTGATTACAACTGTATATATAGCATTTCAAACTGAAGAGCTGAAGCCCTGAACATAGAGGCTCCCGGCACTATGACCACTTCAAAACACTGAAGTGGTCATGGTGCTTGGAGTTACCTTTAAATCCAAGGCACCTGTTTTTAATAAACTAAAATTCTTTTTACACAGACTATGATAGAAGATGTTCTGGAAGACAGCGGCTACTATAAGCTATCGTCCAACAGGTATGAATATTAATTACATGAAACAGCCAGAAAGTGGGGGGTCATTAGAATGTAATATTAAGGAAAATTCTTAAAACACTATTTTCATCAGGGTTGGTTTTCAGCTAATAGCTAACATTCACAAACAGCCCCTTAATTAAAGGGGCACATTTAATACTGAAAAGACCATGATTATTTTTATATTGTAACAATTACACTTCCTGAAAAAACAGGTTTGTCGGGCAATACAAATACTTTCTAGTATGGATAATGATCAAACTATAGATTTGAATTGAATTTCAATTCGAACTCATTTAATTATTCTTAGTTTTAGGTGCTGTATTTTTCTTATACTAGATATTAATGTCTAGTTATCTTCAGTCTTATTTAAATCTAGGAAACGTAGCTATCACAATTTACTTGCAAATAGTGTATCTCATGTATCTGTATTTATTATTACTGGCTAATTAAAAAAAACGTGTAGCTTTATCTCTGAATTGTCAAATTCACTAAAATGCACTTGTTTTGCATATATTTACAATGTTTGTACCAGTTATTTTTTCTTTTGACTAAGTATGACAATATTTTACAGAGCTCCTTGTGATCTGTGAGGTATATTACCAAGTTCATTATGGACCATTTTGGATTTGTGCCACAATCAAGATGCCCATTTAAACGGGTTGTATGTGGACATGAGAAGCACCTTATACAGCCATGGTGGAAATACAGATCACCTAGGAAGGGGAAGAACCGAAACCTAAAAGGCTTCATTGCTGCAATTTTTTCACCAACCACTTTGGTTAACAGACTGTAGTCCCTACTTTAACTTCTTTAGAGGCATTTATTCCAGCTCTCTTGTTTATATGTAAGAAGCATTTTATTTATTAAAGTGTATTTGTTTTTGCAATCAATGCTAGTAATGTTTATTCCTTCCTTATACATGTTCAAAAATGCTACATTGTAATCTTGGGGGATACCCTATGCTGCTATATTATTACTAATTTACTATATTACTTTTTTACCATTTCAGTGTATTGAAGGATTTTTAAAGGGACACGATAGGCACTAAAATAACTTTAGCTTAAAGAAGCAGTATCATGCCTCTGCAGTTTCACTGCTCAATTATCTGCCATTTTAGAGTTAAATCATTGTGTTTATACAGCCCTAGTCACACCTCCCTGCACGTGGCTTACACAGCTTAAACACTTCGTGCAAAGAGAGATCTAATGTTTAAACTTCCTTTATTACACATTATGTTTAATTTATAATTTCATATCTCCTGATATGTCAAGAGACTTCTAGACCCTGTGTGGGATTAAGTATCAATTTACAGAGCAAAAGATGAAAATTGAATGAAATTGAAATGAAACCAATTATTTTTTTTATGCAGGCTGTGCCAGGCACAGTCAAAGGAAGGTGTAGCTATGGCTGCATGGAGAGAAACAAAAGTGATTTAACTACTAAATGGCAGAGGATTGAGCAGTGAAACAGTAAGGGCATAATCTATACAATAACACTACCTTAATTAGTCTAAAGTTATTTAGATACCTCTAGTGTCCCTTTTAATAACAAGTTCTTTTTGTTTTCATTATGCATAAATAATATTTATACTGTTTATCCAAAAATATGAAACGGTATATAAATATACAAAAAACATAAACTGTCCAGTCCTACACATTATTGGATATATACAGTCATGGGAAAAAAACAATTATCTGTTCCTTAGCAGGTCTTAAAATAGGTAAATACTACCTCAGATGAACATGAACAGCAACGAATGACATTGTCATGAGTTATTTAACAAAAATAAAGCCAAAATGGAGAAGCCATGTGTGAAAAACTAAGTACACCTTATAATAACTACCTTTAGGCAATAACTTGAAGTAATCATTTTCTGTATGCCTTTATCAGTCTTTCACATTGTTGTGGAGGAATTGTCACCCACTCTTCTTTAAAATGTTGCTTCAGTTCATTGAGGTTTGCTGGCATTTGTTTATTTATGCACAGCTCTCTTAAGGTCCTGCCACAGCATTTCAATCGGGTGGGCAAAATTGAAATGAGCTGAATGCAGAGGAAAAAACAAACAAACCGTTAAACACACTAAGGTGCTAGCATGGGTCCGACACACATTTCACCCCATTACAGGTGGGCTTCATCTCAGACCTTACTACAATTGCTAGTGATGTGGCCGAGAATGTGCAGAATTTTAGAGAGGGGAGAAGGCGATATATCTCTTGGTGTAGCCCTATTGGACAACACTTCCCTTGTGGGTGACTTGTAGTCCCGCTTCATTGTATAACAAGTATAACGAGCATCTCCTACATAGGCAATACTTTATCTTCATTCAGGCCTAAAGAGGTCAATGGTTTTAATTTGTAGATCCAAAAAGACTCCCTGTGCTCAATTCAAAGCCCCAATATCTGGCCTTATTTTATAGACTCTACCCCGCAGAATGTATGGTTACTGGTTATGGTTACATTCTTCAAGTGTCTGGATACACTTTTTTGTCTTGAGGCTCTGACTAAAATGACACGTTCCAAGACACGTAATTTATATGATCTGAAGATTTCCCCAACTTACTTTTTTCCACAAGAGCAACAGATCAAATATACAACTCCCATGGATCTGCAGTTAAAGAAATCCATAGTTTCTAAGACTTGTTTGCAAAGTTTTAATTCTTCTTCATATAATAAAAGGATATATTTCTTAATTAAATTGTAGCAAATACCTACAGTTTCAACTATGAAAAGTTTTACAGAAAAGCATTATTATTTTATGGAGAAAGTGCTTTGTATGAAAAGATCAAGTAACACTGCAAATCTAATTACAGCTGGTATTTATTTTTTGTAAAGGTTGCTAAAATCACTTGGTTGAATACTGAACATTTCAGGTGTCAGAACTGTCAGTAAATGATCAGGATTTATTGTGCAGACTACATTTAGCTACTGGCGTGCAGCTATCAAATTTATGTAGAATGATTCAAAAGGACTTTAAGCATTGTATCCACCCCCTTTGGACCTAATCTCACATACACACAATCATACATTCTGTGCACTGGATTGCAGGACTAGCATAATAAGTAAAAGGATATTTAAATCCTATTATTCAGGGTTTGCTAGCCGACTTCATATGACTTTTATGGACAATTTTTAATAGGAATAGATTGCTAGACAACGCTTGGTAGGCATAGATGGGCCCCTGAGGAAGTGCCACAGTAGATTCAATTGATTCAATTCTTCCCTATTGTATGCCCAAGCCGTGATATTATTTTAATTCCATAAAGGTTCTTATTTTCCTTATTTTTTGTGAGTTTTTTTCTCCTTGTGGAGGAATCCGGCTGTTTCACTTTATTTCAAGTCTCAAGCAGTCACAGAGCCTCTGCCAGGACTAAGGGATATTTAAATCTAAACTTCAGTATACCTTATTTATCAGAGTTTTTTTTTATTTCCTACAGTAATTTATTTTTTATGGGGTTTATTAAACAGAGGGTAAAAAAAGAGATCGTTCCAGAAATCAAAGATATTAAAAAATATATACATTGATTGTTGAAGCAAGTTCATTGAGCAAGATAACAACATTTATATTGTAATTGTTCAATAACAGTGAAATTATGATTTATTTTAATATGGTGGCTTGGGAAATTTTATAAAATGTATGCATATTGTTAAATGGATCAGATAATAGTTTAAATTCACAAATACAAAAAAATGTATTTGGAAAGTAAAATCACAACACCCACATGTAGGTAATCTGAATTGCGTACTTGCCCAAATGTCATCTCAACCAAACCTTCAGTCACATACAGACACTCTTGCTAACCAGCTTTTCCATACCAAACATTCCATACAGAAACAAACACCACACTACTATCACAGTTATATCTATTTTCTAGCTAACCAATTGTAATGCTAAAAACTCTATATTATACAGCTCTTTTGGAGGCGCAATCTTTCATATGGTACTCATATAGCAAGCAATGTCACACCCAGTGACCATTTAGTATGTCTCACTGCATCCATTAAGCTTGTATCCACCTTCAATGATGGCTGGTGAAGGTTTTTGATGGTGGGGCACCAGGCTCCACCCACATAATTTGACTCCATCCCTCTCTCTGGAAACCCCATGTTCTGATCCACTAAACTCCAAATGTTAAAATAGCTGTTAAAAAAAAAAAATCTTGGTTTATACCTTCCGAGTTCCACAGATATGACCAGCACATTGCACAGTATCTGGACTGTGAATTGTTTAAAAACATATAATTATGTATTGTTCAGTATGCAGGACATTGTGTAGGCTAATAAGTTGTACTACTTCTGCTCTGATACAATAAATTATGCTGAAATAAGAACATATTACAATTGTCATCATAGAGAATTTCATTTAAAAAGAAGTCTTGAGGATACAGGATATAACAATAACAAAACTGTATCGGGAATCCTGGGATTGTCTGGCAGCATGCTTCAACATACACACACAGTGTGGTATTGCACAGAGGTAGTGAGGAGAGGACAGCTAACTCAGGAGCATCGAGTGAGGACAGGGCACACGGGGCAGGAAAGACTGGACTGGATGGGGTTGCAATGAAAAGAGGAGAGTGTACACAACTAATAAATACCCATAAAAACAGTTATCTTTTAAATATTGTGCAGTATACAATATGCATCTGTCAATTCCCTTTTTCCTCCTCCTTTTTGCACTGAGGTTCCGGGGCTCTTTTATGTTGAAAACTGGCTGCTGTGTCAGCCTAATAAGGGCTTGAGTATAACAGCTAGTCTGGCTTGGCAGGGTATAAAGCAGGATCAGATACAATTAAGAGGATTTGTATAGAATCCATGCCAGGTGAGAAAGGACTTATGTTCCGATTTCAAGGCTTTTGTAAACCACCAACTCAACAAACCCATCAGCTACCATTATTTACACCCTCCTGTTGAAATCTTGGCTCTGCAGAATCATCCACCCTCATACTAAGAGACTTTTGCAGACCTATGAACAGATGTCAAATGCCTGTACTCACTGTTCAAACCGGCAGGGCTTGGGACTGGTCTCCCTGCTATTGTGGTCTCTGAGTCAGCATGATGTAGTCAACAGGAGTGTGCTTGATATTCTGCAGTTAATTTTCCTGTTCTTACCTGCTCTGCTCCAGGCACCCCCTAGAAGCTTTCCAAGGTATTTCAAACACCATAATCTGGTCTAGAGAATGTCTGAAAAAGGTGTGGACAAGGCTCATTTGGAGGCACAATAAGATCTAGAGATGCTCAGCCAATGTTTAGAAGCTTAGGAGGCCTGAATCTGCTGGTACTTTGAATTGATAGGAGATAGGCCTGGGGAATGGAGGGGTGGGACAGTGGTGTACTTTGGTTATGAGAAGAATTTTATTTGTACATCTTCCAATCTCCTCTCCTATGTAATCTAAAGGTTTCCATGGCACTCATAGCCCAGCCAGCAGCTTCTGACCAGCACTAGCCCATATATTCTATTCAGACATTCACTCACACACACTTACTGGCACACATACATTGACCCATGCACATATACACGGACTCACAGACACTGTCCCATGCACACACATACACTGACACACAAACACTGACCCATGCACACAAACAAAGTC